TTACAAATCTGAAAAGATCATTTCTGGACTTTGGCTTACTGCTGATGAGTCACTTGAAGCTGTTGAGTCCCTTTTAATTAGCAAATAAAGTCACAAAACTTGGTTTGTGGTTGTGGCTGTCCTCTTCTAAATCTCACATAAATACAAGATTACGTGAATGGCTCAATTGTATCTCTCTGTATGCTCTTTGATCAAAGGAAATGTGGGTGGTCTTAACTGTACTAATGCTTAGCCCAGACAATAGGAGTGTGGGTGGCTGTGTGTTTGTGTGTTCATTATTACTCATACGATACCTTCGTGGTACTATGATTGTAGGACTTCCTTTGTACTTTACATCAGTATCATTCAAATCTGGACCAACAAAATATTTCTAGATAGTGTTTCTGTGTGTTGTGGTGTTCTACTGTTGCTGCTGTGTGTCACAATTAGTTTTGTACTTTTAAGGGAACTTTCTGGGGGATTTAGTCTGTAGATTGTCTGGTCACAATGGCTTTTTTAACCTGTCTTGTTGTTGTTCTTTTACTTTAGTGAATCACTGACCTCCTTGAGCTACAAGGCTCCATGCACGTAACATACAAGCTCTGTTCCTGCTACTAACGCCAGATTATACCAGTTGAACACAGTATGTTAGCACTTAGGTGTGTGTGTGTGTGTGCGTGCATGTGTGTGTGTTTGGTTAGATGGCTGGTATGAGATCTAAATCCCCCTCCGACCCCCTCAGATCAGGTATTGTTGGGGCTCCTTCACCCCCTCAGACTCCCTGCAGGCAGGAGAGAGCCGGTTAGCTGAAAGGCGTTTCCTTGCAAGACAAAAGTGTTCGGCCTCATGTGTCTTGAGGTTGTATTTGGAAGCTAAATAGTAGGAGGTTTATATGTGAAGGTATGTGAAATGTGTTTTCTGGAATTTTATTTACAAAGATACGAGTTCAGTACTCTCTAACAAGTGTCAATATTTGTTGACATATTTCATTAAAAGCCACGTGCTTTGATTTTGTGAGAGAGAATTAGAAGTCTTGTTATGAGTTTGGAAAAGTCTTAAGGGGTCATAACTTTCTAGACAGCTTTTTGACCATTTTTATCATGGTGTTGTTTAACAGTACTGTCCCTTTTATTCTTTGTAAGGCTATATTGCTGCTTGCTCATATTTCTCCTTTTTTGTCACGCAGAATATAGGAATCCATCATCAGACCCATCAGCACTCTATTTTTCAGGAGATTTACTGTGACTTGAAACACATTAACAGAAAATGTGTTTTTGACCATAATATTTGTTTATCCAGTGTGAAAATCCAGCTATAGCTCATCTTTTAACGCATTTACTGATTACATTTTCATTTGCTAGAAATAAAAATAAATGCCCTTTTTATATTTTTAATTAAAAAAATATATATTTTAAAGTCTTTGCTTCAAGCATCTCTTATATAAGGTTGTAACGTATTAAGCAAATTTGTATAGTGGCACCAGTATTCAAAGATGGTGAATGCTTGCCAAATAACAATGCATTGACAATTTTCACCTTGGTTCTAACATTTTTTTACCATTAAAATGAACCGCTAAATACCAATGCCAGTATTAGTTCCAGTTGACCTTTGAAAACCTTTTACAGTACTCCTATATTAGCTCTTGCCTTCAGAAAAGTAAAAATTAAACATTAAAGTAAGTGCATGGCTTTATAAGGTGTAGAGCAAGCAGTAGTTTACACACAGTTGGACCTACTGGAGTCTTACAAGAGGCACACTGTGGATTTTCCTTTAATAATGTCTTCAGCCTTGGAAAAAAGGGACCCCTGTCCTTTAATCTCATAACAAGCAGCGACCCTCCATGTGGGTCAGTCTTAACAAATCTGTTCGGTTTCTCTCAGTCTCTAATGAAGAAATTGGAATAGTGCATCATAAGGTTTAAGGAGTTTCTGGTATAAAAGAAGGTCTGAAAGCTGCTCGGATGTCCTGCTTCTACTGGCAGGGATGCATTGTTTTATTCCCGTAGCTCCCTTGAAGAAGCTGGCATGCATCTTTAAGGTTACATAAACCTTATTGAAAGTGCTCTTGGTCTGGTCTTTAGTCTTACGATTCTTACTTGGTCACGGTTGATTGGAATTGAAATGCAGTTTTTTTTTTTATCCTTTTTGGCTTTCTGTAATGTTATTCTTCTATGTCTGCATTGTTGAGTTCCCAAGAGTACTTTGCGCCATGTTTCTCCTTCCAAGTATTGTTCCATGCCACAGTTTGACTTTATTGGATACAAATCAGACCAAACCAAGAGACTCAGCTCTATCCTCAGCAATCACACGAAAAAAGCCTTTAATAGTTGGGAGTGTTTGCTTGTGCATGCAGTCACCTGTTGAATGTCAGTACTACAGTGATCACCACAATCCCCTTTTTTTGTTTCTGTGTTCTTTTCTTTGGCTGGTGTTTGTTTCCTTCCAGTGATGTTTGTTCATAGCTTGGCAGGTGTTTGAGTCATTCATATTCTTTTTTTGCTTAGCTTATGGGAATGAACAAATCCTGAAAATATTTTTCCCTCGGCAGGTTAAGAGATGAATGTGGAATCCCTCTAATGATGGGTTTGCATCTTGTTTCTTTATGATTGGAGGTCTTGGCTCAACCTGCTTTGCAGTTGAAAAAGTGCTTAGTCACATCTCCCACCACTACACCCTGTGTAATTATATCTATGTATAGACCTGCGGGTATGCTATATTTGGGCTGCACATAACTGTTACAGTATATTTCATACTCCTATTTCAAGAACTGAGTGATACCAGCTTTTCTCTGTAAATACATGTCTGGCATGACTCACCTGCCGTTTGTCCCATTTCTAACCTTCAAACCTAACAGTACCATTTCATATCATACCCTCACACTGCACTCAGAGCTGCCCAGCATGATGGAGTCTTTCTACAAACATCACTTCATATTCTGTGATGTAAGCCAGAGATGTAAACCGATAAATTGTTGGCTTCCTTTTCTAATTAATGCTCAGGCAGAGTCTGGAGTTGAATTGTTTGTCTGCCGCTCCGACAGCTTCGAACAAACCACTAAAGCCAATCATAACAGTGGGGTGGGAGTGTGTGGCGTATTATGGCCTGACATGATGGTCATAAAGTTAACTTGGTTCCCACTGCCAATATCCCCGTGCCAACTAAAACACTCAATTACGAGAAGGAGAGGCTGGTGTAGCGTTGGGGATTAAGGCCTACATTGTGTACAGTAAATCGGCAGGAGACAACAGGTATTTGGAGCGAGTGATGGTTTTGAAATCGCATGATCCATTAGCGGTCTTGATTATAGGTCTCAGCCTGTGCTAAGCACACGTTACAGAACAGAATAATTCAGGTAAACAGCCATTTAGGATTAACAAGGTCTGGAAACAGATGATGGCAGACAACAGATTTGTGTTTGCGCAATGACTGAAGCAGTTTTGTAGATATTTATTTGTACTTTGCATTTGTAAAAAAAAACTGTTATTCTGTTTTTATCAGTTCTTCAGTTCATTTTTTTGTTTCATTTCTTTCTGTTTTATCACATATCACATCTGCATTTGTGTCTAATCTAATCTACTTGTTTTACAGGATTTGTTTGTTTCATTTTTTTTCCTGTCATTGTGTCACACATGTTTATTTTCCCACTGAGTGCATAGTTTCCCAAAATTCTGTCTGTGCTACCTCACCAGAGTGATGTTTATCGAGCCTCCGTGTAGAACGTCCCTGTAAATCTGGTGTTTGAGTACGTGAGGGAGAAACTGAGGCTCTAGCCTGGTGTCACAGTCTCCTCTCGGTCCTGCAAAGCCTGTTTGTTTTTAGATCTGGCCCACAACAATACCCGACTCTCCGCCGCGCACACACTATCTCACATACACTGCGTTCAGAGCTCACTGAGAAAACAAGCGACAGCCATAACAAGGACTTAAACAGGAGCTGCACTCCGTAGGAATAGCTGCACTCACTTCCCAGGCTGCTGGCTGACTCACCACCATCCTATTATACACTATAGTACTTGAAAGTCCCCAAAAAGTCAGGAAAACAGCGCTTGACATTTTTTGGCACCATTACACAAGATTGCATTGTCGTTTTTAAAATTCTCCTCTCGGGAACACAAAAACAAAATGCAGCTTTGATGTTTACAATAATAAATACTGACATCTGTCCCAGCGGTAGCAGAGAAGAAAGCTCCTTTGTTTCAGCTTGTTTCTTCACCGGTCAGAGAAGAAATAAAGGAGGGCGAGATCTTTGTTTCGGACTCTTTGGAAGTTTGACGCGCACACAGGCTATTTTTTTTTTCACCTGTCTAACCTTTCTGTTTCAACTCCTTCTCCTCCACAGGGGTCTTTAATTAAATGTGTTGCTGCAACAACAGGTGCTCACTCACACCCTCCTATTACTCAGTAGAGCTTCCTTACTTTCTGTTTATGGGACAGCGGCTGTTATTTTCTACATATAATTCACAGTTTACAGTGAGTGTACTGTGAACCAGTGCACCATTTTAGGACTGGAGAGGTGCTTTAAGAGCAGATCCTCTGTCAGCTCATTCTAAAAAGAGCATCCGCATAAAGATTGAAATATTTTTCTCTTTCCTTTTTTCATAATCCCGCTGACAGACAGCCTGAAAAACAAGTTGACATTGGTCTTTCCAGAGAAAATGTGTTTGGGTGAACAGTACCTATATGCCGAGCTGGAATGGTCTGCTGCAATTATCAGCTGTATTGATGTTGTTTTAGTTTATTTTGTTTTAGTTAGGATATATGATTAGAGTTTTTAATAAAAATGAAATGGTCCTCATAGGTAGCAACAATGTGAACATTTTACTGTTTAAATGAGATGACATCTGGCTTTCTGGACTGCTGCAGTACCCTGTTGGTAAAGGTCAAGCTGACCCGTCTTGTAGTATTTGCAGTGGCACATTTGTTGGGCTCGAGTTGAGATTCCCATCACAGTGGGAGAGTTCAGGATCACAGTGACGCCACAGCATGGCCTCTTCTTTCAGTTTCTCTCGTTTCCACTTCTCAGATCCTGGATGAGATTGCAGAACAAGGGATAAAAATTTATCAGCTACCTGATGCCGACTCTGACGAGGACGAGGAGTTCAAGGAGCAGACTAGAGTCCTGAAGGTGAGAGAGGGGCACTCAGCTAATGCCGGCTGTTACCATAGGAGGTCCGCAATTTCCCTCTGCTGGTTCAGTGATACACCATTCTCTTCCCATTCATCTTTGCTTCCCTTCACTGGAACTGCTCCTCGCTGATACCTTTATTTTCCACATATCCTTTCCTCTGCCTTTGGGTGTCCACTAACATTTGACTTCCTTTCCCAGGCAAGCATTCCCTTTGCTGTCATTGGCTCCAACCAGCTTATCGAAGTGAAGGGGAAGAAGATCCGTGGTCGTCTGTACCCCTGGGGTGTAGTAGAGGTGGAGAATCCTGAGCACAATGACTTCCTGAAGTTGCGCACCATGCTTGTGTGAGTATCTTTGGTTATAATTTGAAAAGTAAAGTCTTATAAAAATCTAACCAGAACTTTTGCCCTGTTAAGCTTGTCGCTGCCAGAGATGAAGTTAAAATCTGAGCTCTGCTGCCTTCTAGTGTTTGAAGACGTGATTGGTGTCTGTCTATTGCAGGACCCACATGCAAGACCTCCAAGAGGTAACTCAGGATCTGCATTATGAGAACTTCCGCTCAGAGAGGCTGAAGAGAGCGGGCAGGTGGGATCCTGTTTGATATAGCAAAGCACACGTTAGTTATTCCTGTTTCTTTCAAGGAGAATAATATTAATCACTTCATTTGTCCTGCAGAGCTGTGGATGAGGAGGTGTTGGATAAGGACCAGATCCTGCTACAGAAGGAGGCAGAGGTAAAAACACACGGAGCAGAATTGTGTATTTGAGCAATAAAAGTGAATAGCCGTACACACAGACCTCCGCAGTCTGAAATCAAATTAAAAAAAATACTAGCCTGTGGCGCTTTTTCACTTTACTCATTTAAGGCACAGACACATGTGAATAATTTAGCGAATACTTACATTTCAGTCTTACATCATTACAGGTATATATACAAATTTTCATTTTCTTTGCAAACTACATAGAAACCTGTTCAGTTTTAAAGAGAAATAATCTGACCTGTAAACCTTTGGTTTGAGGTTTATGTGGAATACTGTAATGTTGTTATGGCTGCTTATTATCACCAAAGACTGTACTCGTTTAACTTATAATTTTAAAAGGGACATTGAAGGGACATGTATTCATTTCTTTGGTAAATAATTTAAGACCCCAATTTTAATACGCATTGTACCCTACTGGATTTCTTTAAATTTAAATCTATACAAATATATATATAGTCATTATGTAATAGAGTAATGATTAACAGCACCTACATTTTAAACAAATTTAAAATGAAAAATAAAGTTTTACATAAAATTTAACAGTACTCAACCCACAGTTCACGCATGTCAAAAACATCTTCATCTTTACCAGAATGAATCTGTTAAGTTGTAGGTCTGTGATATTTAAGGACGTTATTTCCAATTCCTTACAGTGTGTTTAGTGCTGACTCAACAAAAATCGAAAGAATTAGGATTTATAATCTTATTTTTTAAACATATAGAGGTTAATAATCATTGACTTTTTTGTACAATAAGTAAATGAAACTTTATTCATGCATACAAAAAGGATTTCTATCATTGTTCTTTTTTCTTTTTTTGTTAAAGTAACAGAACTACACAGATGAAAAGCATAAATAAAAAGCATAAAGTAGCTTGATTTCCCAGTGAAATCATGATGTCTGTGAGCCATAAATCTGTAAATGTAGAAAGGCTCAGTTGATCGTTTCATCTTGAAAACAGTTCAGTAGAATATTTCAGGGTGAAAAATGGCTGACATGGTGTTCAGACAACACACGAGGATTTGATGACTCAAGTAGGTCAACTCTGGCACTCGGTGTATAGTCAGGTATAAATGCAGAATCACACTGAGCCTGCAGCACTGTAACATAACGTGCTTTCAAAGGTCATGACCAAAGTTTTAGAAGCTGCAAATGCAAACCAGGAAAGCAGCCTGTTTTTCTGTCTGGTTGTATGTTGGAACGCAAAAACATTCTTATTTTCACTCGATATGCATTGTTAACCTTATGGGCCGCTGAGCCTGCATGTCATCAGGTCATTACCTGTTTCCTGATTGCCTTTGATTGGCCTTTTTCTGTTACTGCAGCAGGGCACCATAGTGAGCAGGTGGGGTGCGATCAGAGCTGTTTGTAAACAATGTCTCCAAGCAGGATATGCCATCACTTCCTGCCTGGGTGTTTTTTATGGTGGGAACAACCTCAGTAACGTTAGGAACCGAAGCCACAAAGCCAGAGGGATCGTTTGTTTGGCTGATTTGTTTAGATGTCGTGAGAGGTTTCGCTGGGAGGAAATATCACAATGACCTGTGATACTCCCTAGATTCCTAAAAGGTCCCAGAGTAAATGAATAAGTAATTGTTATTTACTTGAGAGGTTCTTAGAAATAGTTGTGTACTGAGAACTGATTAATGAGTTCCGAGTTGTCACATTCAATGATCGGATAATGCACCGAATTCAATGTGCAGTAATGTCAAATTTGTCTTTCTTAAATTTTCAGGCAAATTCAGCAAATAGCTCAATACATTCTTAAGGTTAGGGTTAAATATACATTTTCTGACACTTAAGGGTTTATTTTCCTTACAGTCAGAGCTGGAGTAGAGTTAACAGCCCACAGGAGGCTTAAACTAGACTTTCTAAGTGGGTAATTCAGTTGCAGCAAGATGCCATCTTCCCTTGTTTTAGACAACATAATACTATACAGTAGCAGACTTTTCAGCCTCTTAGTTCTGTAGAAACAACCATATTTCACCTACTGAGAGAAAAAATAATCTGGCTTGAACTGCTTGAAGTTCTGTGCTCTGCCACAAGAGGGCGAGAGATATTAACAGGAGAGCTGCTGTTTAATAAGAACACCTGTGATCCTTCTGTAGTGCATCCTCACTGTTAGTTTTAAATACTGGCTTTGTTTTAGTGCTTTTTACTCTTTAATATTTACCATGTAGCAAATATTCATTTATTAGTTTGCATTGGTTTTATGCTTTATTTATTTTTAAGCTTTTTGACATTATAGCTGATATAAATACTCTCTATTTGACTAAATGGTGACTAAACAAACACTTTTTTTTCTTGTGTAAACAAAATGTTATTCTGTAAGCTGTTTCAGATGGCAGTTAGTTGGCTCCTTTAGCCTAGTTAAATACTGAGTGAATTATACTGTTGTCAGATGAGAAAGTCCTCCAATTTCTCAAGCTTAAAACAATTAAAATATTTTATTATTAAAGAGAAAAAAGGCTTATTTTTTCTTTTCTGTTAATACGTGAATATTTTCTGGGTATGTGCGAAGTAGGAGAAGTACTCTTTGAAGCAGACATTAGGTCTTGAAGTCACACATTACATTTCGCCACAAGCTAATATTCTAAGAAAGGCTGACTGAATCAGCAGATATGTGTGTATTTTAACCCCAGACCACGACCTTCTGATAAGTTTATATCGATAGTTTGGTTGCCTAAATCTGACCAAACAAAATGAAACATACTGATGTGAAAGTGGTCACTGCTTGAAAAAAAACTTCAATGGGGTTTTATTTTCATCTTCTTTCTCTTTCTGTAGCTGAGACGCATGCAGGAGATGATCGCGCAGATGCAGGCACAGATGAAGATGAAGTCGGACGACTAAAAGGGTCGGAGGTGAAGGGAAGCACTGTGACCCAAGCCACCAGCACACACGTACACATAAAGCATACACACACACGCATACACTTAGTTGTCCAGCCCTGCCACTCTGCAGACCCACCAGGAGCCAGTTTCCAGAACCACATCATCTACGTGCACACCACCACCTCTTCTTCTTCTTCCCTCCATTCTTCCATCCATCGGCTGTTTGGCAGCTCTGTCTCTTCAAGACTCCACATTCAAACTAGTCTCCTTGTGGGAGCGGGTAAAAAAAGAAACAAGTTATGACGACGATGTTTGAATACTGGCTGATTATCATTTATCTGCTATTTAGCCTTCTTAGTTGATATCCTCAGCGTTGACAGTGACAGCGGTACCGAGTGGATTTACCGTCACACACGTGTTTACATAATATACAAACTGTGAGTGTCACCTCACAGGTCAAAACTTTACAATGCATTATTTTCCATTTATTCTGCTATTGGGTTTGAACTCATTCACTTAAAGGTACAAATAGTTTGCTTCTCGTTTTTTCTGTTGGTTACTCATCACTTACCCATCACCTTCACCTCTGAATAACCATTAGTGCCTGTTTGCTTCAGCCTGATAACGCAATAATTATAAATATTACCACAGAGATAGATACATGTGGTAAACCATGATGAGGAAAACTCTTAAATCTGGTTTTCCTAAATGTGTTAGACTAGAAGCTTTATTGTATAACCAACAGCTAAAACTAATGCAAACCCTCCAGGCTTTAGAATTTCTTAGTTTGTTTTTTTTTTTTTTTTTAATTTATCTGTAATACCTGGTTTTAATGTGCCAAACTATAACTTCAGACTGAAAACTAATCAGTCAGTACTGTAAGTTACAATGTTCCCATGTTTGTCTCGGTGACATCATTTCATGTATAAAACAGTCAGCCTGTACTCTACATGTGCAGCTTTTCAACTTACTTTATTCACTCATTTCAGTTTAAATATGTAACTGAGCTGTGTGTAAACTCCCTCCAGCCCACTGTGAACAGCAGACCTTAACATTTCCCCAGCACTGCCGTTTAATCGTGCTTTCACTCATGTGCCATTATTTCTTATTAATGTGTCAGTTGAGACTTTGTAGATGTCGACATGTTTTGTATTTCCTGTCTCAAATAAAATTTGTTAAGAGAACAAAAGTTGACATTTGCTCATTTGGGGGCAGGGGGTACCTTTGAGACTCATGATCGATATGACTTGGCAGTGTTACTGTTTCTAAAATGTGTGACTGTCTGTGTTTTCAGTTTAGTTTCCTATGTAACATGTAGAAAGAAATGTGACATCTGTCTTGCACAGGAAACTCTCATAACATCCATTTTCTTATCCACTTATTCAAAGTAAGTTTGTTTAGGGAGCAGGAGCTAATTTTAGCTGTAACACGGTGAGGGGCGCAGTACACCCTGGATTGGGTCGCCTGTCTAAAGGAGGGATAACACAGAGACAGCAACAGACTCTCACATACACACATTCAGCTTGAAACCACCAATTAACCCAACAAGCCACAGAAAGCCCACGCAGGTCTGAGACAAACAGGAAGTTCAAACTAGGGACCTCGTTACTGTGGGGCAACCATTTCGCCGTGAGAACAGGCATAGGAAGAAATTTCAAAGAGGAAGTCGTTCCAGACGTTTCTTTGATTATTATTATTTTTTGTTCATTATGAAGTTGCTGGCACAAAGTCCAGGAGCATGAAAAGTAAATCCTATTAAGCTTTGTGAATTTATCAGTTTTATTTCTTTCTAGAATTATTTTTTTTTAATGTAAAAGTGTAATCTGCACATACCGCAAAGACGTAACCACAAAGGGAGCAGATAGTTACAAAAAGTAAAACCTTAGGTCAGACTGAGGACTTTCATGGTGAATAAATAAAACATAAATAAAAGGTACAAAGGTTACAAAAAATATGAATCGTTTCATTGAGGACACTAAAAACAAGGCAAACTTTTGTAGGTTCATCAGGTAAATATGTGTTCACGTGTTGGGTCCAGTGATTTCAAGCGTAAGTAAAATAGCTTTAAGGCTCAGAGAGAAGTGAGGGTTACTTAATTACGGATGTTACTGAGGTTTTGACACTCATAGCATCCTCCTGCTGTTTGGCTGAGTCTGTGAGGAGGAGGAGGAGGAAGGAGTGGTTTTCATGTGTCGTGTCAGCTCGGCCCGCCCTCCTCCTGTCTGTCCGGGGGTTTGGAGGCGAGGGTCCGCTGTCTGTGAGCCGTCGCTTCG